ATGGAAGAAATCATTAGGAGACAATGTAGCAACCGGGAATTCTCTAAACTTCACTGTTCAAGGGCGAACCCCTTGTCAAACTTTTTGAAACATTTTGACCTGCCCTGTTTCATTTCAACCCTGCTTAGAGCCTCCGTTTCATTTCGACTTTGCTGTTTCGAGGCTGAAACGCCTCAAAACAGCTTCGAAACAAAACGGGCAGCAAAATTTCTCATGGCCCTAGGTAGTAGGGCCACTTATGGTTCTAGACTCTTGGATTTGGTATTACTTTTGGCTAATGTGGCCTGGGATACATAAAATTAGAGGAAAAACAAATGTCTGGTGGTGCTACACCCTCCCAGGCCTGGGGTTGGCTAGTCACTTGGGTGCACCATGAGGACAGCTGTGAATTGTGGTGAATTTGAGGGCTGTTCTGCCTTTTGGGGGTGCTTGGAGCTGTATGCTGGAGCTGTGCCACCTGGAGACTTCCCTTTGCCAGGGGGCTGCCTTAACTGGCCAGTTAATCTTTCTCCCTGCTTTGCCCTTGGAGATGCAGTTTGTCTGTTGCCTGGCAACATCTCCCAGCCCTGTTGCCGAGCGCAGAATGTTTGGGTTTGTCACTGGATTGTTTGTCCCAGAGGTTCTGTACCTCACCACTCGCGTAGGCGCCTAGCCTGAGCGGGGTTGTGATACTCGTCAGCACGTCTGGCCACCCGGTTACTTCAGCTTGTCTGACTTCCCCGGACAGTGAGACGTGATAGAGGATAATGTTCCCTGTAGGTTTGGAGAAGGGAGAGTTTCAGCAAGAGATTTTACATACAAGATGCAAATTTTAGGGGTTTTTTTGTCTTTCAAGGGTGCAATTTGAATACTTTAGACCAGGGGTTTTCAGCCTTTTTAAATAAGTGTACCGCTTCTGTTTCAAGGTTTCAGCTCATGCACCCCTTTATATTTTTTCTTGTTTTTAAGCCGGGGCAGATCCAGGCTTCCCCAGTGAGGGAGGGAGTGAAGCTGGGGCAGGTGCTGCACAGCCGGGGTAGGGTATGGGACAGAGCCATGAGGGCTCATCTGGGCAGCTCGGGGGGGAGGGGGGGGGACGGCTCCCACCCCTGTACGCACCCTGGGAGGGCATGAGGTACACGTGTCCCTGGATCTGGGCATGGGGTGAGGGCTGGCTGCCATTGTGGGGGGCGGGGGGCAGATTGAGGTCACAGCAGTAGGGGAGGGAATGAGGCTTGGGGCAGGGGCTGCCCAGCCGGGGCAGGACACGGGACTGAGCTGCGTAGGGCAGGGGGGCAGCTACCACCGCTTCACGCACCCTTGGGAGGGCATATGTCCCCAGATCTGTGCATGGGGTGCGGGTGGGCTGCAACCAGCGATGGGATCTTCACAGCAGGGGGCTGGGTTGGGCTGAGCCGTGCTCGGGGTGGGTGGTGGCTCTGGGAGGGGAAGTTGGGGGTGCTGTGGCAAATTCTGGAGGGGCTGCAGCACTTCCCTGTAGTCCCATTCCCGTAGGCCCCTGCAGTGAGGGAGGGAGTGCGGCTAGAGCAGGGTTAGGCGCTGTCCAGCCGGGGCAGAGCACAGGACGAAGCCATGGCTCGTTGGGGAGGTGTGGGGGGTGGTGGCTCCCACCGATGCATGCATCCTGTGAGGACACAGGGGACATACGCCCCTGGATCTGCATGTGGGGCAGGGTAGGTTGGGGCCAGGGCCGGGCCTGCACCAGGCTCTTCCTGGCAGGGGCTGGGCCGGGCTGTGCTTGACGCGAATGTTGGTGGCGCTGAGAGGGCGCTATGGGAAGGGGCTGCAGCCACTGCAGAATTCACTGTAGCTCCTCCAGGCCCCCTCCCAGTGCAGCCCAACCCAACACCCCTGCTGGGAACAGCCCAGCACTGCCCTGGTCCAAGCATACAGCTCCCTACAGCCCACCCCATTACACATCTGGGGGCATGCACCCCTTGTGCCCTCCTGGGGTGTGTGCAGCGGTGGGAGCCGTCAACCCCCATGTGTCCCGGACAAGCCACTCACGGCTCTGTCCTACGCTCCACCCCAGCTGGGCAGCACCTGCCCCTGCTCCAGCCCTCAGCCCCAGCCCCACTCCTTCCCTTATCTCAGGGGCCTATGGGAGGGAGGGGCTGCATCCACTCCGGCATTTGCCATAGCCCCCCCTGCAACTGCCCTCCCAGCACCACTGCTGCTCGCCCCAAGCACAGCCCGGCCCAGCCCCCTGCCCCCACCCCCACCCAGAACAGCCCTGCGCAGTACCACCAGCGCATGCATTTTAGGTGATGCTACTGTGCAGTAGATTAATTCCTGCGCAGTAAGCTAATCTACTGCAAAGTGTCTTCTGCAGATGCACCACAGATACCTAGCACTGTTGAAAACCAAGCACCGTTTGTTTAAATGCCTAATTAGGGATTTTTGAATGGATGTGATATCTTTTATTAGACCAGCTGAGTAGTTGGGAAAAAGTTCTTAGCAAGCTTTTGGGCACAGTCACCCGTCTTCAGGCATAGGTAGTCTCTGCTGTTCTGAAACTCCAAGGAAAGAGAGAAGCTAAAAGTGTGACAGGGTGTCAGTGAGAATGTAAATAGGTAGAAATTAGGAAAACAAAAGGTAAAGCAGGGGAGGGGGAAAATGGGGGGAAAAGGCAAAGCTGAGTAAGGGAGACTGTACAGTGGTGGAATTCAAGGTAGAAAAGAGGCTGTCTGTGAAAAAGGAAATGGATGGAAATTGGGAAGACAGAGGGCAGAAAAGGAGGGGGGAGGGGAAAGAAAACGGTAAAACATCAGGGCTGACAGGTACCTAATGAATCAGATGCCAGCCAGGTTGTAATGTGTCATAAATCCGATGTCTATATCGAGTCCATGATTTTTTGTATCCAGTAGATTTATGAAGTGAAGTTCGTAGGCTCATCTATGAAAGGTGTTTTGTAAGTTCGCTTTGAGGATTAGAACTGAGAGATCGGAGTGATTGTTTTGTGAGAAATGTGCGTGAGAAATGTGCCTCCACAGGTAGTTGGATATTCTTGTCTTTGATCAATTTTCGGTGTGCGTTCATTCTGATGCACAGTTGTTGTTTGGTCTCTCCAACATATTTTCCGTCAGGGCATTTGGTGCACTAGATGAAATATATAACGTTTCTGGAGGTGCAGGTGTAAGATCCAGGAATGGTGATTGAGTTGTGGGGTGTAGTTATTGTGGGGGTTGTGGAGATGTGTGGGCAGGTTTTGCATTTCTTCTCTTGGCATGGTCTGGTTCCATTGGATGTGGCTTGGGTTATAGCAAGCTTCTGGTGATGAGGTTAGTGAGGTTCGGTGCTTGGTTAAAGGCTAGGATGAGTGGTTCTGGAAAGATCCCTTTAAAAATTGTGTTGTCTTCTAGTATGGGTTGCCAGTAGGTTCCAGGGAAGGGTGATATGTCATAACTAATGGTGTGCAATTTATGGAGCTTTTCTTTTTGAACTGCAGCCACTGTATCCAGATAGCTCTTTCAAAAGTGCGATCTCTCTCTCTGGAGGAATGTCCTTGTTGAGTGAAGTGGCGATCACGGGTATTCTTGCTGCAAATTAGGTGGTATTGGAGAGCTTGGCTGTAAATTAAAGCTTTCTTGATGTGTTCAGGGCGATTGCCGGTTCTCTGTAGATATGTACATGGCTACAACCAAAAACCCAGTAACTATGGATTTAGAAGCCTAACTTTAGGCTTTTAAATTGGAAATCTTTGGCCATTTTTAATCTATGGTATCTGTAGACACAGATTTTATGTCATTGGTGGCTGCCCACCATGTCATATGTAGCTATTTTACTTTTTCAGTGGGATGGCAAGTAACACAGAGGTAATGGGGAGGTCTAGCAGTAGATGGGCGACAGGAGGACAGTATACATGTGCCTCCTTGCCACTTAGTCATTTTCCAGGCTTCTACAATAAGTCAAAAATTTAAAGGCTGGAAAAGTCCTATTAGTAGATCATTCTTCCCATCTTTCTCTCAAGCAAGATTGTTTCAGATCATTCATGTTCTAGAGCTCTGTTCCATCTTCTTCTAAAAAGTCCAAAATTACTAGGCTTTAAGTGCTTCCCTAGGGAGACTATTTGACATCCCAGCGCATTTTACTACCAGGGAGTTTTTCCTTATATTAATCTTAAATTTCCTTTTCTTCATTGTATTCATTCACTCTAGCCATGTATGGCTCTAAATAATTCTTTCCTCTTTTGTGTATACCAACTGTCAAATATTCACAGCCTATGATCATTGCCTCCTGTTTAGTTAGCATTCGATTCTTTTAATCTTTCTTTACACACTGGTTTTTCCAGCAGGCTGATAATTTTTGTTTTTCTGCTAGATATCCTCCAGAATGTAAATATTTTTCTTGCAATGTGTAGATTAAAATATAATGCCATTAACACACAGACACGTGTGAATCCAGATGTTTATATATGCAAAAGGAGCAACTAAGGCTCCTGAGATATCTCTTAGTGACATAATCCTTTTCCAGATGAGATAAAATGTACAGATAGGGACAAATATTGTGAAGTTTGTTTAAAAAAAAAGGGGGCGGGGGGAAGGACGCTGCACAGTGGTGAGCCCTGGGCAGTGATGTTGGGCACTTTCCTTGTAAAAATTATTTCCCCTTGAAGTAGGCAAAAGGATTAGCAGATGGGATGCTTGAGGGATTTCTTCCAGGAATCTCACTGGATATTTTAGCCACAGGTGACACTCCTTTGGCATTAATCCAGTTGTTTGTACTGCTAAAAGATCGTCAGTTTGTCTACAGGTATTTGGGGTACAATATTCAACAGGTCTCCATTTTGTGCCCACAGAAAGCTTGCAAGAATGCCAATTTACATGCATAAAATCCAAACCTGTATTTGTACATGTCCATTTTTAATCACATGCTTTATTTGTAAGTTAATCTATATATGCAGATGAGAAGACAAGCAAAAATTGGGCTAAAGCATTTAGTGGTTCTCACTTTCCTACATTAACACTTCTCCCCCTACCTCTCCTCGCTGTCTGTTTCAGGTATTAGATAGACAGCTTCCAAGAGCAAGGACGGCATCAACAGCTCGAGCTCCATCGGCTTCACCTCAATCTATTCGACTGCCTTCAGTTGATTTGGGTAAAACAACAATAAGCTATAGACTAATTTTGTGCACTGCTTACTCTGTGAGACGAGACCTGTTGTACTTTAAGGGCTTATGCAGAAGACCAAGGCTTCTGAAATACACTCTGAATAGGCGTGTATTTCATCCAGAATAAACTACTGCAATGGAACAATTCCTCCATTAGGGTAGGAAAGAATAGCTCAAGAACATCTGTTTTCTGAAGAAAGTGTAGGTTCAAGGTTCAGTCTCTTCAAGTGAATGCTCCTAGGGGCTGGACCAGGTGCCCCTGAGATTCCTTCCAGTCCTATGATTCTGTGAATGTCTTTGAGTCAAATCATGGGCGCTGTTATACATCCCAGATAGGAGGGCCGTTTTGCAAGCAGCTACACGGGATGGAATAGTCTGTATCCCAGTTCAGGATACAGGAGTAGAGTCCAGAACACCTGCATATTTCTCATATAACTTCTAGAAGAGATTCAAAACTGCACAGACTACTCAGGAACGCTGACTACAGTATTAGGTTAATGGGTCTGTATAATCATAGATCTACTGTCTTGTCCTGCCTCCAGATGTCCATCTGTGAGCTTGTTTACACAGCCTCTGTGCCATGCCTGGGAATAACGCCAAGAAGCCCATCCTACCCACTCACTCCAACTCCCAGAAATCTCTTTAAAGCATTCTTAGGGTGTGCTTGCTGCCTCATTTCTGCTATTCATGCACGTGGAGTAGAACTAACACATGGGCAGGGATTATTTCCTCGATGACATGACTGAGTTTCCTGGACCAACAATGTAAACATGTCTGTAGTGTTTAAAGCAGTTTACAGGCCATTGCCCAAGAGACCAAATGCAAAGCTGAATGTAGGCTGTGACCACAGGAATTTCATGAGTTTAGAATCAGAGGTATATTTTCAAAATATTACTGTGTAGGGCACCACTTGCATACCCAAAACATGGCAAAGGTAAGAAGAACAGAATTTAAAGGTCCTGAGCTTCCTCAGTTTAGATTGCAAGCTTAATTTTCCAGTAAAATTGCCCTTTAGTTTGATTTTTTTTTATGGCAATGCTTTATATACTATTACATTGTATTTTCTTTTCTTTTTTTAATATATAGATAATAAAAATAGGTCAAACCCACCTACACCTTTAAGCAGTAAGCCACCTTTTTACACAAGTGTTGAGCGTGCAGAAAGGGAAAAGGTATGTGTTCATGTCAATTGTAATCAACATAGTCTGTACAGAGTCTGTTTATGTCAAAATTTCCCCTAGTTCAACTGTTTTGTGTGGTGAAGTGAGTTTCTTTCCTACTAAAGCAGTAAAAGGACTTCAGAAAAAGAAACTCCCGCTAAAATTAGAGATAACATGAAAATTAATCAGTTGACTACAAGCTATAAAAGCTTTTGTAGATGGAAAGGCTGTATTTCTTATCTCTTGGCTGATGCTGGATGTGTCTGCATAGAACTCTTGCAGGAGTTTCTCAGGGTACCAGAGTGTCCTTGGAGGGACATTCCCATGTAAGTCTCATTTGTCTACTCTGCCTGGTACACACCAAACCCAGAAGTGCACTGGTGAAGCTGCTCCAAGAACATCCTCAGTGACTGCTCTTAATACGCTGCAGCCTTAAGTCACGAGGGCAATCCTGAAAGTGACACACTGTCCCTGCTGGGAATGCAATGGAAAGGTACCCTCAAAGAGCATCCTTTCAAATGAAGGATGCCCCAGATATAGTATGTCCTTCAAGCACATTTATAGATTCTATAACATTAAAAACAGGAAATGATGTACGGTCTAATCACCAACAAGTAAATCATGGAAATTGGAGTAAAGGGGCTTGAGTTTCAGTCCAGTCTTTGCCATCAATTTCCTGTGTTACCTGGAATAAGTCACTTAATAACACTGTGCTTCAGTCTTCCCATCTGCTACACAGAGTTAACAGTATTTGTTTACAGTTTGTTTGGCCTGATGTAATAATGCTCACAATGTGATGTGAAGTGTGATGATAGTGGAGTCTCTGAAAATTCTAAGAATTGTGCTTAAGTATCTTGGTGATTCAGAGTGGGGGCGCTGCCTTTTATAGGTGATGTTCTGCACAAGATGGAAGCATTGTAACTTGCAATGGCAGCTGGTGGTTTTCTGTTGCTTTTCAGCTAGGCTTTATAATGCTTATTATTTTAATGACTTTTATCCTGTGTACTCCACATGTAAAGTCATATGGCTTCTTAATTTGTATATATAATACATACATAGTGTGTATGACTGTTCATAGGCATGCTGTTCTTTGGACTCTCAACAGAATGGCTTGTTTCACCTGCCTATATTCACAGACATTACTATATACCAACCAAGGGCCAGATTCTGTTACCTTGACACAGATGCAGTATCTTGCTGCCCCTTTATTGTAATCCTTTTAAGACCAGTGGATTACTTACAGCTGATGTCCAGTCTTACAAAGACTTAGGCATGTGTTTAACTTTGCCTCTGTAAGTAATTCTGCTGATATTTATAGAGTAACACATGAGAGCAAAGTTAAACTTGCACACAAGTCTTTCAAAAATCTGGGTCCTAAGGTAATAAATGAGTTCAGTTGACCCCTTGTTAGTATTCATGTCATTCCATCGAGGTACAGTGTTATATAAAAGACAGGTTCCCTCCTGGAGAACTTACAATTCAATAGACACACTTATCTCAAAATCTGTAAATACAGGCTGAATTACTTGGAAAGATTGTCAAAGTACATAAAAAGCAGACATTTGCATCAAGAGTCAAACGTCGACAATCTAGAAGAGCGCTGAACTTGGAACTTGAAGAAGAGATTCATACTCCAGAGGAAAATGAGTACGCTCGTTCTGATCCCAGCCGGGCTTTTACTGTTGCAAAAAGTAAGCATATTCTTTTAGCTTTGCCTATAGTGTTACTCATCTTGGTACAGTTTTCCATAAGACTGCACATCAATCATTCATCTAAAAGTTATTGTTTAGGGCCAAATCCTATAATTGTACCCTTCATTTGTTTAGAATCTATTGATTTCAATGGGGATCCATTACAGCTCACCCACAGAGATTTTGCTAAAGGACTTTTTCCTTTGCAGATTCTGGACAAGGATTTAAGCATACGTTGTCATTCTGAAGAGAGGGGGAATATTTGTAATAAACAGTAACTTTTCCTTTTTCCCCATCTCACTGCTACTACAATGTTCTATGACTAGATTAACCTGGTACAAAACTTCGCTCCATTATGTGGAAGGCTCTCTCCAACAGTAGAGTGGCAGGGATGTGAATTCTTTTAAATGAAACCTATTAAGAGTTAATATAAAGTCATTTTTGTTTAATAAACTAAACAATGTGTTAAATACATTATAAATATATGAAAACAATTGTCTTTTATTGTAGCTTATTCTGTAGAAATTTGAGAAATATGTTAACATCATCAGGTTAATTTGAACACATTTTTTTTTTAAAGCTTGCCATACTAACAAACAATCTGTAAGAAATTTTATCAATGAAAGGAAGGAAATATTTCGACTGCAGGTACCGTAAAATATTTTTCTTCTTCCTATAGTTAATGGAACACCTAAAATTAAATAAGAATAACAGTTAATTATATTAGAATAAGTTTGTTTATCTGTGTGTCCATATATTAAAAATGGTAAGACTGATTCAGAAGAGAAATCCCATTGTTCTCAAATTGGGAAGCCAGTATGCACAGTAAAAGTTAATCGGACAAACTATTTAAGTCAGAAGAACTACTTGGATGAATAAGTATCTGCAGGACTTGACCCTGAATCTGGTAGGAAGTTGAGCAAGGTTCATAGTCACTGGGTGCGCTTTACTGAAGAGTAGACTAATTAGGTGCATGAAGTGTCACTGTCTACACGTGCACTGGTATTAGGGCACAGTAAATTAATTAACTCCTCAGTAAGATAATACTGTCTGGGACAGTACTGTTTTAGAGTGTAGCATTTAAGTGCAATGAAACACACGTGTAGATGGTGACAGGGGCTGGCCACACTGCACTGCAGGTTCTGCATAGGGTTACCATACGTCTGGGTTTTCCCGGACATGTCTCTTTTTTGGCCCCCTGCACTGTGACCGGGTGGGTTTTTACAATACAATCAAAATGTTCAAGTTTCTTGCTGTTCCTCTGCCCTCCCAGGCCAGCTGCTTGGGGCTGGGAACAGGGGGCAAGGTGATTGGCTGTTGGGGGGAGGGGGGGTCATGTGATACAGACAGCCAGTCACTTTGCGGGAGAGCAGAGGAACAGCAAAAATCAGCCAGGGGGAGGCAGGGAAGAATGGAAAGCAAAAGAGCAAATGTGGGAGCTGCTTGGCTTGGGCAGGGGGCTGCAGGTGGGGAGTGCGGGGCAGGGGGCTGTGGTCAGGGGTGAAGGGCATCACTAGGTAGCGGGGACTGTGGGTGGAGAGTGGGGGGCACCAACAGGAGCTGGGAGAGGGAAGGGGCTGCAGACAGGGGGTGAGAGGCACTGCCTGAGTTGCTGGGGGGCTGCAGGTTGAGAGTGAGGGGCACTGGCAGGGCTAGAGGGCAGGGGCTGCTGGCAGGGAGTGAGGGGCACTGGCAGGAGTGAGGGGCATGGGGGACGGGATGGGTGACTGGGTTGGGTGTGCAGGGCCCTGACAGTGCTAGGGGACTGCAGGTCGGGAGTGGGAGGCACCAGCAAGAGATGTGGGGCAGGGTACTGCTGTTTGGGAGTGAGGGGCACTGGCAGGGCTCGGGTCAGTGGGTCTGGAGTGAGAGACAGCAGGGCTGGGAGGGCATGGTTTGTCATTGAGGGGCAACAGAATGGGCAGAGGCAGGGCATTAGCATGTCACTGCCCCCCTACCATCATATTCCCCTCCCCAACCCCCACCCCTCCCATGGCAGGTGTCCTCTTTTTTGGACCTGCAAATATGGTAACCCTAGTTCTGCATCCTTGTCCCCCAGCCAGCCCCTCTGCTGCCCAACACTGCTGTTGGGCACCCAGGGCTGACCCTGTGAGCCTGCTGCCAGCCTGGGGCTACTCTGCCCCAGCTCAAAGTGGAATGCCTGTTCCACATGCAGTGGGGCACATGGCAAGTTACCTTGAGTGGCATAGGGGAGTCTGGGGCCAGCACTGTGCTGGCTCCAGCTGCCTTAGTTGGGGTGCTGGAGCCTCCTGGGCCTGCACTAGTGGCCATCCTGCTGTACGGAGTCTGGCTGGCAGCAGAGTGCAGCTCCAGGCAGCTAGGCTCCAGTTTTGGGCAGTGCACACTGCCGCCACATGCACTACTCTGCTTTTTTTTCCCTGCGAGGTTTTTGAACCCTTCAGTGTCCAGGGGTCAAAAAAATCCTCTGCGCTGCTCCATTGCAGCATGGAGCACAACTGAACGTGCAATACGTGGTGCCACAGACGTTTCTGCAGCACCACATACCACACAGCTGTGCTTGTCTGGATGCGGCCATTGAGCCATAGCTTGGTAGCAGATTTTGAATCTGGTGCTTGTGAAAGCTGTCAAACTAATGTCATTGTACACAGATGCTTCCTACGTCTAAAGAGAAGATGCAGTACAGACAAGGCTAGTATAAACTTTTCCACACCTCTAAATTTATATTTAAACCTCCTATTGGCTTTGTGAGAGAAGTTCAAGCACAGCAGTATTCTGTCTCTGCCTTCTGTTGTGGACACCAGTGTAGCAATGTTTTTCAAGCTCTGAGCTGACGAAGGACTTCCCTTACATTGGGGATAATCCCTGGAGGAAGGTTTGCCTCCTAAAATGCTTAACTCTTTTGCAAAAACAACAATACACAAGTTTGACACTTGTGAACTGGGGCAGTGCTAACAGTGTGGGTGAAAAGCAGAAGCATGATTCTTGATTCTGCATTTCCTGGCATTGTGTTTAAATATGTAACCTCAGCATTGAAATAACATTTGGTCCATTAATTCCTACTGCATGGTAATAGGATGTTTATTTCTGTCCCCTCCCAAGACATGTATTGCTCAGTTGCTTTTGCTTGCTGAAATGATGAAAGTAACACAGAATACATGAGGACAGCATTTTAATGTAATGTTTTATCCCTGTTTTGTTTCCATAGTATGCAATAACAGTAAAACAAGGAACTATAGAGGAGCTGGAAAGAACAGCACTCCAGAAGGAGAAAGAGTTCAGGGTTGCTGAAGAAAAGCTGAAAGAAGATGCCATCGCATTCGAGGAATTCCTGAAAGCAAATGATGGAAGTTCTGCAAATGCAGCTAAAATGTTAGACTCTCTCACAGTTAATGTTTGTTTTGACTTTGGATCCACAAAAAACTGTATATACAGGGTGCTAAAATATTTCTATTTTACTTATAGTGTAGCCCAAGAAAAAAAATCAAAAGAGCAAGCAGCGGGAGAGCTCAAATCAGCTCTTAATGAACTCCGTGTGGTTCAAAGGTGAGGATGTTATGTTACTAACTTACCCTTGCTTTTCTGATCACAGTGGTAATTAGGTCTAAAGAACTGTCTTGGGGAAGAAATATTGTTGCCTTGTGTGGTTCTTTCCACTTGTTGTATATTGCCTTTTCCTGGGACTGGAAGCACCCCCTGTCACTTTGTTCTGTGGTTGTGCGGTCCCTACCACAACAGGGTCTTGATGACTAATACTCCTGGACTTCGTGGTAAAACAGTTAATAGTACTTAGATCTTCAGGCCAGCCAGCTTGTATATTGACTGTAAGCAGTACTAGGATTTAAACTGGTCAGGTTTGTGAGTGGTGAAGGTGTTCTGTTATCCTAGCACATCAGGTACTGCCAGTAATTTGCTAAGGATATTTTCCCTGTTTCAGGGTTTTATTTAATATTTTAAATGAATTGCTTATTTCTGTGTTTGTGAAGCTATAGGGGTGATATTAGAAGTTCTGTCAGGCCAGGAGTCAAGCAAGCACTTGAGGTTTGGGGAAAATGTTTCTAAGTTTTTTGGAGAAAAACTGTTAAACTAATAGAGAAAAAGTCTGTCTTACCCTACACTCAGTCTGTTACTGGTTTTAGTGGAAAAAATTATGAACCAAAAAGTGAAAATGTTTGTACAATTTTGTTAAAGCATGTCTGGGGCCAAAGTCATTCAGCAGAATTAAGACCTGGTGTGGTGGAGCACCTTTGGGGGTGCTCGCCACTTGAGGGCTCTCACAGGCTCTGAGGGGAGCCTGCTTTGGAGGAGCAGCAGGGGAAACCTCTCCCAGGAGTCATTTTAAGGGGGACGATGTGTCGCAGGGCACTGTTGGTGCCTGACACTTTAAAAGCGGAGCCAAGCAGCCAGCAGGTGCTTGATTGCGGCAGCCATTTTAGATCTCTGGCTGCCCATATAAACAGGGCAGTTTGCTGCTGGCAGCCAGGCTTCATGTATCATCCTGGAGGTAAGGGCAGGAGCTGTAGGGAATGGTCAGGAGGCTCCTGGTCCTGGGCATGACCTAAAACTGTACCCTGCCAGGAGTGGGTAGCTTGGTGGGGCGCTCAGTGGCGGGGGACCCCCGAGGAAATGCCAGGCCCATTACCACCCCAGTGAAAGGCGGGTAAGAACGCCTTAACCCTAGCCCTCACCTTTGGGTGAGTCATGCAACATCAGAGGTAATGGGCCAGGCATGGCTGAGGCCATCTGAGCCCTGTGGGGTGGAGGACCCTGAGGAAAGGTAGTTGGGGCCAGGCATGGCTACGGTCACCTGAGCCCACTGGGGAGGGAAGTCCCATGGCCCCGAGTGAAGAGGGCGGTGTGGAGCCCCAAGTGAGGGAAGTAGGCCTAGGTATGTTTCTGGACGCCTGAGGCTGTAGCTTGGGCCAGAGGCCAAGTAAGGGGTCTCAGTCTGAGAGGTAGGGGCGAGCCCTGACTCCAGTAAATCTTCCACCACTGGGAGGCCGAGTGTGGGTTGAAAGCAAGATCTATGGTGGAGCACAACGACATGCTGCTCCAAGGGGGGGTGAGAGTCCCCGTGAGACCCCTGAGCACCAGTTGTGGTGTGGGATAAGAACGCCCTGGTGAGGGGTGGCCCTAGAAAGGGGGCAGAGAGGAGGGACCCCAGTGGGGGAGAAGAACCAGAGGGCTGAGAGCCCAGAGAGTGTATAGAGTTGCCCCAGAAGGTGCCAGGGCAAGCTTAGACCTGATCGGGTAATTGGCTGGCCACTACCCTGGGGAGGGTCATGGGAGAGGCCCAAAAGATGGTACGTCTGCCACCTAAGGTATGAACTAGCTAAACCTATGGCCTAAGGGGCCTGCTCCAAGAGGGAGCAAGGTAGCATAAGTTGTCGATATGAGAAAGAGACCCTGTGAGAGAGGGTGGAGTGTGTGAGGCCCGGGTGAAAGGAGGGCGGTATGAATGTGTGTGTGTCAGTATATATGATGATGATAATGATACTTTTAATATCATTTAACCTTTACATTTTACTTAAAATGTAACTGTACCCTCTGTTTGCATATTGACCATAATATTACCTGTTTTTGTAGACAAATTGCAGAAGCTGAAGTCTGCCTCAATGACTACTTATACTATGAAGCATTTTTAATGAAACTGTCTCCAAAAGAATGGCAAGATGAGCAAAATGCAAAAAAGAAGAAAGCAAGAGTAGAAAAATTACATAAACCACAGTGTATGCTTTTCCTTTTTAAGCATGTGTCTGAAAATGTTAAATATAATCTATATAAATGTGCACAACCAAATCAGGAAATTTAAAGATTAAGGGGTCAGATACTAATTTGTTTGACACTGATTGTTGCCAACAGTTGTGAGATTTGTGATACTAATCATGAGATTATATTTCTTTAAGCCCCAGCTGCTTGTAATAATAGACAGAATGAGACTCTTCTCTTTCATTTTTTAAATGAAAAAAAATGATAGAGAAAAGCTTAAACAAAACAAAGAAAGTGCACTATAAAAGCTCAGAATCCAGAAGGTAAATAAGAAGAACTTCACATTTATTATTTTTTTAACTCTTGTGATCCTGGGAGGCCTGACATAGGATTTTTGAATGTGTGGGGTTGATAGTTCTGGGAAAGTAATATGGCTGACAAAACCCTCCCAGTGTTGGGTTATGGCTAGGGGATGTTCCAAACTCAAGGCGGTGGCCAGCTGATTTTACATGCAAATTGCGGAGCCAGCAGCCATTTTTGCAGGTGGAGCATGGTGGGCCCCCCATGCCTGTCCAAGGGGCCCTGGTGACCTCACCCTTCGTCACTGATTGGCTGGAAGAACTGTCCATCATATGGCCCTGCCCCTCGCCACTGGTTGGCTGTGGGGGTTGTCCATCATGTAGCCCCGCCCCTTGCTGTTGATTGGTGGCAAGGGGCAGGGCTGCCCCTGCAGCCACTCAGCTCTGAGGGGTGGAAGCAGCAGCTATTCTGCCATGCCAGAAGCTGCAGCATTTTATTTTCAGGATTTTTTTTTTTCAGCTAGCCCACCAAAAGCACAGAGCCCGCACTTTTTCACAGAGCCTGCAGTTTTTTTCATGAAGCCTGCTTGAAATCATAATTTCTGTGAAAATCGTGAAATCACAATTTTGGTAGATCCCTAGTTATGGCCTTTGGAAACTTGCTATTTAATGTAACTCCACAGATATAACCCATATTTTTTTTTCTAGAAGTCTTCACTGCCAGCCTCATTTAGATCTTGTCTACATTCCATGTTTCACCTGGTTAATTAAAAATGTACTTTAAAGTAATTTAGGTATACCAGTGGACACTCCTGTATGGACAGTGAAAATGATGTAACTTTGGTTTAATCTTAATAATGAACCATTTGAAGACAAATCCATATACACAAGATTTAAATCACTGGCCAAAATCAAATTAACAAGTGGTTTTAGCTCATATACCCCATGCAAGCTTCTTGTACAGAGAAGGCTCTACAGGTTAAAGACCATTCCCTGTGTTTTTATTCATGTTTCCCTGCAGTACTTAGAAGAGCTTTCGTTGCTTAGCCATGTCTCAGAAAAAAATCCTTTTAAGTCATTCTGTATTGGAATTCAATTCATATTCTGCACTTCTCTTGCCGTAAATCAGGCCAGGGACTTCACTTTTGTTGCCCATCAGGACTTGTTTCTTTTGGGAAGTTATAGCTCTGTTTATCCTTTGAGCCAGATTGTGTACATCAAGCCATAAAAATAAACATATTGGTGTTTAAGACAAATGTATGGGATACAACCCGAAAGAAGCAGCTGCAAGTGAAAATGGTCATCAGGAAAGAGGCCTTCTTGATAACAAAGATATGAAGTCTTTGCAGCAGGAAGAGGAGTCCTCTCCTCTAAGGGTGAAACTTGGACTCTGTTGGTGCATACAATACCTTCTGTGCTAATTAATGCCTGTGGTAGCATTTGCAACTGTGCACTGGAAGCAAGGTGCAGGGAGCGTAGATGAAGTCACCAGACATATGAATGGAGACACGCTCTGTTCTCAGTTTTAGATAACCTGACATAGATTACAGACAGACCATTGAGTAGTCCACAGAACCGAGAGGCCCATGAGGCTAGTGACAGGCCATCAAAAGTTGTGCTGTGCAGCCAGGGGAGGTGGCTACCAAAAGTTGTGCAGCGTGGCCAGAGGAAGTGGCCTGCCACAGAATCCAGAGCCCTTGAGCCCTGGTGACATGGACATATGTGGCAGGAGGGCGAGTGGGGGCTGACATAGCCTCAGTTGCCCTCCAGCCTTATCACCCATTGCTACTGCTATGGCCCTACCTCCTCAGGCACTGGCCTCATCACAGTGCACCCTATGGCAATGGCAACTATCATGGGGCATGTGAGAACTGGAGCAGTGCCATGTGCCCCATGCCAGAACAGGTGCTGCCAGCACTTCTGTATTCTCTTAAATGTAAAAAACATCTTTTTTTAATATCTGATAGATACATATTGAATAAATATACTGGGGAAAATATACCTTCTTAATGTAAGAAGTGTGTAGCTGATAACATTACAAGGCTCAGGATAAGAGTATACCATTTACTTTATTAAAAGATATAGGTTGATAATATTATTATAGTTTGCCTCCTAATTAACATGGAAATGTATTCTTTTATCTTTTCATCCCTTGAAGGTGGGCCATTGCCTTCAAAGAAGCTGTCAGGATCAAATTTGGCACTACCTGAATTCCAATCAATGTTGACTAATAGGAAAATGTCATCACCCAGGTACAGTATCAAATAAAATTGGCTTCCTCCATTCTCAGTTTGCCTTCTTTATCTGCCAGTGTACAACAGAAATAAAACAGATCCAGTAAGCAAGCAAATCCTAACTATGCCATTTGCAATTATACCAGTTACCTACATACTGCTGCAAAGGAGACTGTTGATAATTTCTTCCAACTCCGACCTCCCCCCACAAAGGTTTTCTAGAAGTACCAAAGGCCAAAGCTGAAAAGTGTTTCATGGGTCCTTTCTGTCTTTTGCTTGTTAACACTTTCTGTGATGAGAAATGTCTCTTTTCTCTTATCCTTTCTGCCTTTTTTTTGTCCTAAGTTACATGCTGGGATACAATGTGGGAGTCTCCCAATGAATCAAATATTCGAGGCTGTGTTTGAGCTATTGAACTGAAATAATTTTTTTCGTTTGTTCATGCAGGGTGCATCTGCACGTGAAATTAATTTGACGCAATAAAGTCTGGCACTGTACACACTGGAGTTTATTGTTTCTGGGCACAGTGTTTACACATGCACCCGGGACCACAGTATGTTGAGCATGGGCAGAGCAGCCCCAGCTGGCAGGGAGCCCTGGTAGTCAGCCTGCCAGCCAGGGTTGCTCCGACACAGCTCAACATGCTGCAGAGGCGTCTGGGACACAAGGGTGCTACAGTGCAGGGCTAGCACTGTTGTGCTCCAACCAGCCCAGTCAGCGTCTACACAGGCATTGCTGCACAGTAAATAATGCCACCGTATTTACAGGTACTAACCTCGCGGGATTTATTAGTTTCCTGAGGCATTGACATGGAGACTTTACTGTGGAGCTAATTAGTCAGCTCTGCAGTGAACATCTCATGTAGACGCATCCAGAGTCACTAATAACTGTACATAAACTGTTTCTTGTTGAAATGCTTAGGCAGCTGCCATTATTAGACTAGGCAAGGCAGAAACAATATTCCTTCAGTTACTACAGAGTCCTGAAGAATCCATGAAAGTGCTCATAACTTCCACTGAAGTCAGGAGGCTCTGAAGAGTCACCTCATAGGACTGACATTTTACTTTTGATAACTGAGAATTAAATCTTTTAACCTTTCTTGTCCATCAGGTATGACAATGAAAAAAACTTTACAGATTATGAATATTTCTTGGACGACTTAAACTGTGATATGGTAATGAAACTACACTTCCTAATTTACACTTTGTTCTCTGGAAAAATGAGATATTTTGTTTGCTTTTAAAAATGTGATGATTATTATACAAAAACTACAGATTCCATGATTGATGGAATGTATATTGTCACCCCATTGGCCAGATTCTCAGCTGTGCTGTGGCTGCTTTGTACGACTCTAGTACAGGGGTGGGGAATTATTTGGGCTGGCAAGCCACTTTAATAAGTTTTGGTGACCTGGTGAGGGTCTTCCCCCTCCCCCTGCCATAGCTGTGACCAGTGTGGAAGCCTGAACCCACCTGCAGCTTTAGCAGCGCCCCCCCGCCCCCCATGGCTGGAGCCTGCCCACAGTTTTAATGCGCCCTGATCTCCCCCCTCCTCCCACCCAGTCTGGCCTCAGCAACTGTCGGGCGCATCCACAGCTGCCCAAATATGGCTGGCAACTTCCAGGTCAGGGGTCCAGGAGTGGGGGGCGGGGCAGACAAGGCAGGGGGCAGGGGTGGGGTGTGCTACAGGTGTGGGCTGCAACCAGCACAGAAGCCTGAACTCGACCGCAGCTGTAGCACACCCTGCAGCTGGTGCCGTGACCCAGAAGCTGCTGGCCACATTTGAGCAGTTGGGAGCTGCAGGGTCTGGTCTGGAGCTGGGGTGGGCAGCTGCAGGCAGGCTCATGCTTCTGCTTCCATGGCGATGGCAGCCCCATTCCAGAAAGAAAGAGAGCAAGCACCCGGCACACCAGAAGCAGCCCTAGCTGCCTGGTACCATGTGGCAGCTGAAGCCGCTGCCCCCCCCCGGGCTGGGTGCCATAATTCCATCCACGGGCTGGATCCATTAATTTGGTGGGCACCTGCCCATGAGCCAGATCCAATCACTTGGTGAGGCGGATCTGGCCCATGGGCCATATTTTGCCCACCCCTGCTCTTAAAGCTCAAAGTGGCTATAAACTATGCTTAACTAACTCCTGGGTGCCCATCCATGATGATATTTTTTGTGACATTAAGTTCTATAAAAATAAGTGTGGAACAAATTTGAAGTTACATAGCACATGCAGCTCATCTTTCAATAGGTGCTTCACAGCTTTCTGTCCTCTGTCTTAGGAACCAGAGATATATTTCAGTGATCCAAAACAGTTACTGGAGATCTTCACAGATCTAGAGGAACAAAATCTTGCATTGATTCGCGATACCGAAGACCTAGCAGAAATACGGGATGATATCAAACAAACAACAAAATCTATAAAACTAAAAATGTAAGGTTTTTACAGCAGAGAGTTCAGAAGATGTATAAGAACCTCTTCATCATTGGTATTTTGATTACATAATAAGAAATGCAGGTTCCATATATACCTTTGTCATTTGGGGGTTGATAGTGGGAAGCCTAGTGAGCAAGTAGCCCCTTGTTCTATATATCCCATTGGCAGGTGATCTATAATCCCTTATCTTAGCGTGTTGAATAGATGGGCACAAGGAACCACTATTCCTGCTACCATTCCTTCACCTGTCCTGTGCTAATGCGCATATATCAATGGACAGAGGGAGAAGAGAGGAGGTGGGGCCATGCCTTCATCCTCTTTTTCACACCAACATCCCCCTGGGGCAGGGTGGTTGATTTTAGAGCTCTCTCTACATGTCAGTATGGAAGCTTGCTTTTCCCCTACTTAAATTACTATTGTCAGCTAAATTAGAGAATATTCTTCACTTTCTGCCCCAAAGGGTTGCAAGACATGTTGTAAAACAGCTACTTGATCTTTCCAAATGCAGGTTGCTGAACGTTTAAAGAAGATGAAGTAACCTGTATATAATGTGTGTGCATTTTGGCATGAACAATACTTTCTGAACTGAATGTGATATTATTTCACAAATATGACATAAGGTTTAAAGCCTTCTGACACACACTGCACTTAAATTGAGTTAATATGTCTTCATAAAAACACAAACTAACACAATCTAACTTTGTGGAGCTCGAAAAACTTTCCTTACCTTGACAATTTCTAAAAAGTTTGTAGATGACTGAAATAACATTTTAATCTGCTGATTGGTGCTTACTGATTGGTGCACAAAAAAACTAAACCACCAATGAAATGACTGAGATATACATCTTTTCTCTGCCACAGAGATGAAAAAGTAAATGTTCTATTAGCACAAAAAGAAACTCTAGAAGCTGCCTGCCTCAGAGAAGAGGAAAAAAGTGCTGAGCTGGCTCTTAGGGCCAAGATGTTTTCTTTTGGGGAGTTTAATCCAGAAGTCCAGGTAATAGCTTTGCAAAACATGCTTCTTATTGAGAGAACAAATCATACAATTATTTTTTAAATGTTTGCTCTTAGCAAAGGGGGAAGAGGAAGAAAATCTGAAAAGGGAGAGGGAACTACAGGACTGGGTAGTTTCTTGAGTCTTGAACTAAAAATTAGTACAAAAGTGGGCGCGTCTACATGTGCCCCAAAAGTGCTGTTGTTACTGCACCATCCTTTTGGAAGTACTAAATGATGACACAGTAACAGTCCATACTGCGCAGTGCACACCGTGCATGATTATTTTTGGCCGCTACATTGCCGTAGCAACATGCTATAACAAGGGAGCGTATTATTTAACAAGACACATGGCAAAAAAACTCCCTATCATTGAGATGTCAACCTTATAACAACTGAGTGTTTATATTGTGTCCGTTGCTGCTGTCCGTGCATTTCAGAAATGCACTTGTATTCAGATAAAATTTGTGTTTTGTTCTATAGGCACTTACAGATTGATTTGTTTTTAATTGAAGGACAAGACATTGCATATGCTCAGGAAAAAGATTGAAGAAGTATACAGAGTTAGTTCTGGAGAGATGGAGACAACACACATTAGTGCAATTGAAATGCTGAGACAAATAGAAAATAGGGTTGAGGAGCTGTGTGATATAATAGAGACCATTCCAAAAGAAACTATTGAAGCAATTGAGAAAACTAAGAGAAAGGAAAGAAGACAAAGGTAAGAGGAATGCCCAATATACTTAAAATAAATAGACCCTTTCTCGGTTTTTCTTCTGAGCATTCTTTGCTAGGAATTGGAGCATTTAATTAATGGAGTGACTCTCAACGAGGGTACCACAGCACCCCGGGATGCCCTGAGATTCTTTTAATGATGGTGTTAGGGTATGATACTTGATAGCACCATTAGCACTGCTAGGTGTAAACACATGATTCACAAGATAAACCCAGAGATTTCAAATAGGAATCCATAGTGTTAAAAGCCACTGTTGTGGTCTTTCTGAGCTCTTTGCAACAGAAGAACTATGTTCTTTTCCTGTAGTCAAAAACATGAGTGAAAATTAAGAGTTGGCATCTTCTGAGAGTGTCTTAAGTCTAACAAGGGTGCACTTTAAGACCTGGGGCCAAGCAGTCAGCAGGTGCTTAATTGCGGTGGCCAATTTAGAGCTTACTTAATTGCGGCGGCCATTTTAGAGCTTGTCCCCTTGCTCCCTTGCATTGGCTGCCTCACCGTGCATTGCAGCATAGGCAAGATGGCAGGCTGTGTAGAGCTGCTGCGTCAGGTCCACACACAGAAGGGTGGGGAGCTAGAGGATAGATGTTATGCCAGGTATGGGCCCAACACATGATTGCACTGTTTATGGAGCAGAATGGAAGGTAGAGTGGGATCCTGAGAGTCACCATCTTCCCTCCAGTCTCCTGCATTTTAAATGGGAACATCATCCTATGAATAAGAAGTTTGGAAAGGTTTGGTGCCAAATTATGGTTCTCAGTGGATTCATTGCTAGTCCTCAGTCCATAATAGGGACAAACGTTCTCATTTCCTTCTGTGTCTTCTGCTCCTTTTGTCTTCTTCACAGTTCCAGCTCTGTGTGTTTTATACTATAGCCTCTATACTTAGATCAGTATCCATGGTCCCCTCCTATGAGATCATCCCTCTCCTTCAGGAATTCTTTCTTCCTCCATGTCCTTGCCAACACTATTTTCTTACTCTTTCTGGAACTGAACCCCTGCACATGCTTTTTTTTCTTGTTCGTTTACAACTGGCAGATTTGTGGATCAGGAAATATCTTGCTGTGAAAACATACCACTATTGTGTGATATTTAATAACCAAACTGCAGAAGGATGATTCTATATGCCTGGTTAGGTGATGTTTATTCACTAAAAACTAATGGTATGCTTTCCCCTCCTAGCACCACTTTTTCCTCCCAGCTGGCAGTTTTGAGAAGTATAGGTATGGCATAAACCATTTATATGCCAGGACTGTCTGTTGTTGCAGACGTGAATACTTTGAGGATGGGTGTGGGAAGGAAAAAAATTATATTAAGTAAAAAGGAAAGGTAACACAGAACAGTTGACTTATCCCATATCAACTGTTCTGAAGTAACTGTCGTGTGTCTGCTATTACTGTTGGCTAGAGGTAACTAAACCAAGAAAATTTACCCGAGTGAAATGACTGCCAAATTAATTCAGTTGCAATTTCACATGTAGATGCACTCACTGTGTCCAAAATCCTGGAGTTTGTTTTAGGATCTGATGCTTAACTGACAGACCTTAAGAAAGCATTTCTAAGGCAGCCTATGTTACAATGACTGCAGAACTGCATATGCTAATGTGCATATGTTATTATACCTAATCCTTTCATTCCTTTATGTTTCCTCTCAGGACCACCCTTTTTAGTTATGGTGCTTACCCAAATCTAAGACAACCATGGCTTTAAGATGAGTCCCCCAATAATTCAATTCTGTCCATGGAAAATTTATAAATTGGTTATGATTTTCCATGGACAGAATCTAATTATTGGAGGGTTGTCTTAAATTCACCCTCTCTCCCTCATCACTGCACCAGAGAAAGCAGTGGTAGGGGAGGTAGTTGGGGGGCATGAGGTAGGGCAAGTAGTGGAGGCAGCAGTAGGAGACGGGCTCTGGGGAAGGTAGTGGTAGGGAGCAAGCGTGGGGGAGGGCAGGCAGCTTCTGCCTGTACCCCCCCCCACCCCCGCTGCCTCTTGCCCCTCCTTCTGATGATTTTTCCTCTCCATCTCTCTCCCCTGTATCCTCTGCTCCCCTGCCTGCCCCCCCCCCCCCCCAAAAAAAAAAAAAAAAAATTCCCCATTGCTGCTTACCCTTGGCTCTGGTATGGCTCCTACCAGGGACACAGAGCACAGTCCCAGCCTGGCTCTGCAGCAGCCACCTGCCCCCCACCTCTCATACTCAATTTCCATGTTAAATGGATCTTGTCTTGGACTCGAATAAATACGCTAAGCCTTGCAGCTTCCTAACATATTGTGCTGTTTATAACACTTTTGCTCTAATAGAAGCTCCTCTGTTGCAAACACACAGAGGATATGGGAGACCTAGTTATTCACCTTTTCCTTGGAAGGACAGGCACATATGAGCAGTCTCAGCTGTGTGAAGGCAGGGACACTGCCAGAATTACATCCTGGATGTAATTGGTGTTATAGTCCCTTAGCATCCAGCAGTGGGTCATCCATTTTACTGTTAGTAAATGGATAACTGCATGTGATTTAGTGTCCCATCCAGTCATAGAATGATAAAAACAATCAGGATAGTTGCTGGAACTTGTTCCAGCCCCGTTGAGTTAATTGGGAGCAGGGAGCAGATCTGAAGTCATGCATTATAGGCATAGAAGGTAAAAAGAAAAAGCCAGTCATGTGTTGTAGTTCTGTTCTTTAGCTTTATTAGGAATCTTTGGTTGGTTCTTAATAACTTGTTACCTGGAAGTGCTATATTTTGTGACTGCATACCATTAGAAACAAATGAATTGAATGTTTTTCCTTCCTGTTTGCTTTTATTATATTTCCTTTCATTAGCATGTAGTTTTCGGCACACTGTGTGATATGCCAATATTCCCAGTGTGGTCTTATTGTGCTGGAACTCCCTATGGGAGCAAATATGTTCCCAAACACCCTCCTCTGTCATTATAGTCCAAACCAGAGGTTACCATAGATCAGAAAAACACATCATTTAGTATGATCAGTCACTCATTTGGTTTTATCAAAAGCTATAAACTTTTAAGTATATTAAAAACTCTGGAAATATTTCTCTTAATTTTATGTTCTTATTCTATTAAAATACCTTAGTTGTATTTCTGCACTCTAAAGTGTTGCTGGTATCATTTTGTTCTCTACTTTTGGTGCAAATTTTGGTCTACACTTGCTATATTTATGTAGTGCAAAGTGTTTTGTTTTATATTGCAGGTCTTATATAATGAGAGCTCTGTGTGTGTGTATTTATTTACATATAATCAGTGATATGTTTTTTAGTAGTCTTTCAGTAAAAATTCAAGTTCCTTAGCCTTTCCAGTCAACACACCAGATGTATCTGTAGAAACAAGGTCATGTTTAAAAGTTTCAATACTTCAGACTGTTTCTAAATGATCCCTTACAAAAACAACAAAGCCCGCAATCTGGCTGCTCTCCAGTGGCAGGGTGCAGGATGTCTGTTCTGGAGCACCAACAGTCCATTTTAAACCAGGGAGTGTCTGCCTCATTCAAAACATCAAACACAAAAACAGTTTGCCTTTTCCAAATAACAGCAGATATTTTCTGTTCTGCAGTGGTACACTCTCCCCAGTTTTAAACTGCCAGAAGGCCTTTCTTTCAGGAAGGTTTCCTCTCACAAAGAATGAATGCTGCTCTCTTAAAGATGTACCACTGCTGGACACTTAAGCGCTTCTAGCACAGGAGGAAGGGACTGAAAGGAAACATGCCCATTGCTACAAATCAGCAGGAGGTTTCCTCTCTGCAAGGCAGGGATATTTTCTTTTCCTTATCAGAGGGCCTGAGCAGATTGTGCAACCTCCTCTGAAGCTCTGATCCTGCAGGCAGCAAACCCCAGGAATATGTTACATGCAGGAGTATTTGCAAGGCCAGAGCCTAAAATGTAGGGCTGGACCATTGCTCTCCAATGCACCACCTGCTATGCAGTTAGTAAACGTAAATTGTTTTTTTTCCTAGCACTATTTAAGGATTCTACTGCATTGTGGAAAAGTTACCATCTGCTCGTTTGTAGATGAAAACTTACTCTCTTCTTTTTGCATTAAACTGCAGTCTACAGTCTAGTAGGGTAAATAGTTGTACTATGCTGCCCTCTTATGGGATTCATCAGCATATGAACTTCTTAAATAAAACACTAAACACATTCAGCAGCATACTGTTGTTGTGCACTAGTTAAAAGGGAAGAATAAGAATTTTATGAAGCCTGTTTGCTTTTTCCTTGCACAGTACATTTGGTGAGTTTTGTTTTATAGTCTACTGACTGTTCAGTGCAGAGGATAAAGGCATACAGTGCCAAAATGTAAGCCTAAAAGAGGTGCTCTAATTCAGCCGCAAGAGGGGTTCTTTCTTCTTTCCTTGCTTTTAGTTAAGAGAAATGTTAGAAAAGCTTTTGAGCACCAGAAGGTCACTGAGGTGACTTGAAGGGTATTTTGTGTCCCAAAGTTTGTGTAACAACTCTCCCAAGGTATAGTTGATCTAAGAAACATAAGATGTTACCAAGTAAATCTTGCTTCTCACGTAGTCTATGATACTACTATTACTAACCATCATGGCTATGATACTACTGTTATTTACTTGCAGTGTCAGATTAATCAGACAAATTGGAATTAGGGGAAATTCACATCTGGCTAATTTCTCTTTTGCAAAAAGTTGGTAAGGTCCTCACTGGTGTGGCAATGCTTTATTTCCAAAAGCAGCTCTTCCTGCAGCCTACTTACCAGCATATTGTAACATTAACTCCATTTAGAATTTGGAGCGGAGAAGAGCCATACACAGAGCCATAAAGTCGCGTCCTACGATAGGTAATGGCAACCCATCTAAGTGCTGCTGAGGCCGTACAGTTTTAGCTTGAGAGAATGGTACAAAATGGTATGGCTATAGATACTAAAAATACTGCTGCAAAGAAAAAAAGGCAAAAAAAGAAAATGATTGATTGATGTGGAAATAATGCATCACTTACCAGCTTTCCCCAGGCCCCACTCATGATAGCTTTTCTTTCCCTCCATCCTGCAAGTTTGCCAGAACTAAGCTGTCTCCATCAATTTCTGAATGGATCCTGTCTCTGTGAGACCTGAAACAGCACTGTTCCCATAGTAAAACTATGTAAGCCTCAATTACAAAAATTCTAATCTACAACTTCCTTCCAATCTCTTCTCTTTAAGTCAGTTTGCCAAAAACTCAGGATAGTAACTTCCTTGCACAAAGATGACAGCTCTCCATTTTAAAACCACTGTATTTATTGCCTCCAAAATTAGAGACAAAAAAGTGTGTATTAAAGTTGCAAGGCTTTTTTTTTTTTTTAGTTACTAAGGAGTATCTTTTTGCCCTTCTGTAGGTTGCGTGAAGAAAAAGCAAAGGAAGCAAAGAAAATTCAGGAAGAACGACTGAAGTGTTCTCTGCAAAGAGCAATAGCAGAACCCAAGAAAAAGGTTAGTGCATTTTTCTCATTTTAAGGTATCTTCCTTAGGAAAATTTCTGCACTGGTATGCTTCTAAAGGTAAATATATGTATTTGGTGAAAGTTCAATTGTAAAGGATTCCCTTCTTACATTCTTGCAACTTTTGACTTTGGAAAAAGCCTTTTCGCTTCTTGGTGTTATACCTCTACTGTTTACTAAGCTAGCACACTAGAGAAGAATAAGCTTTTAAGGTTGTCACACCAATGGAAGTCTCAGCAGTTATGGGCTCATTCCCCAGCTTTGCCACACGCTTCCTAAATAACATCAGGCATATCATGTAAGCTCACTGTTCCCCTTCTGAGAAATAGGGACAACTCATTTCTTCCCTCTGTTGCACAAACGGCTAGTTTCGTGCCCCTGGAGGCTTGTCCAATCCACCTCTAGGAGAGAGTCACACACACAGGCTGGGTCCAATTTCAGATTTATTGTTTGCAAACAAGTTCGACAAGGGAGCTTAATGCTCAAATCCGTGTCGACCCCAAACAGAGTCTGGGGTTCCTTTTTATAGCTAACATAAACAAAAGATTCTAACGTGTCGTGTAATTCTTGGCAGCCCAAGTATTACGTCTTGCAACATATGTCTAGCAGTTACATGTTCTATGACGTTTTACATACATGTCTCATTTACATCTTAAATCTCCTCCCTGGGGCCGTCTTTAAGCCCATCTTGGTCATTCTTCGGTCAGGGTCTGAGTTCTTTACATCAGCATCTTTCCTTGTCCCTCTTCTCTTATCTCTCGTAAGGAGTTATTTATTGCATCTGTTCTTGGCTATGTCTGCAGAAGTCTAGTGCTACTCGTAAATCTATCATTGGCCTATATGCCTTAGCAGAAGCAATTGTGTAGTGAAGCCAAACAGTTCTCAGCTGTGAAGCCTTTGTGTAGTGAGATGAGACATTTTTACCACACAGCTGCTATACAAACGTTATTGCAAAATCATAATGACTAGATTATAACATATTTTTACCACACCTCCCACTTGTTACCTCTCTGATCTCTCTAAACCAAGTTATTTTTGTTGTTTTAAGATAATTTCTTACCATGTTTGGACAGCTCTTGGCCAAAGAAGCTGTGCTGTGATCTCAGTTTGTGCCTCTAAAATGGCTTGCAGTATTTCTGTTATTACCACTAATTTATAGACCTCGGGATCACATATCTCCTAACTGCAAAATGATTGTAAAGCACTTCAGTATGCAAGTAGCCAATTAAGGAACTAACTGAAAACACATAGCCTTTATTTTGAATAGGGACAAATAAGATGTTCCAGTAAAATTGTACTTTAAGGTGTTCATGGGGAAACTAGGATATTTACTTGGGCTGTGTATAATCCAATTCAATGTCCTTGTCAGAGGACACATTACCAGACAGATATCATCATAGAACTACACAGTTTAATAGGCTGATGCTTGAACTATCTACATACCTTCAACACGACTGAAATATATCAAATATGTAGTATTATCTGTTTAGTATTTTCTGGATGCTAGTATTACAGGCAGTCCTTGGACTTATGACACAGTTGGTTCCTGAAAACCGTCTCTTAAGTTGAAACTTAACTCGGAACTGATTTTTCCCATAGGAACAACGTTATAAATGGGGGATTGGTTCCTGAACCAAGGCCCAATACCCTATTTTCAATCGTATTGACATAAAAAAATCACATAAAATCACCACGTAAAAATGGCATTGGAACAGCAACTGAGCATCTTAAGTCAGGGAGATGGGTGGCGCAGCGGATCAATGCAGGGAGATAGGCAGCACAGCAAACTCGTTTGCTGGTGTGGTGTGATATTGGATCGAGTGTCTTGAGTCAGGGAGATGGGTGTCAGAAAGTCGAAACTGGCATCAGAAAAATCGAAACAGGGTGTCAATTTATAAACGTCATAAGTGCCATTTGTCGCAACTCGAACGATGTAAAGTCAAGGACTACCTGTACTTCATATCCTTGTAGCATTATTACATAAATTGAGTAGACTGGTTCAGAGTTTACATATAGAATGATGTGTGCAGACGTTCAATTTCCACAAGAGATTACATTAAGTGCAGTGGTTTTCAAGTATTCTTGGATTCAAGGCACCTCTCCATAACTTCTGTGGATTGAGTGGTACCCAATTTTAAAAACTAATTTATGTATTACAGTGGTTACCTCCTGGCAGAAAGGCTGGCCGTAGGGTTATGGGATCATCCAGGCAGGGACAAAGTTAAGCCTCCTTTTATCTACTTAGTTTACATACTTATCTCCTCACACCTCTCAGTAACCTTCCAAGGATCTGGCAACACCCCATAGTACCCTGGACAAGAATCACAGAAAATGAGGGTAGGAAGGGACCTCAGGAGGTTATCTTTTCCCCTGCTCAAACCAGGACCAGCCCCAATTCCATCATCCCGCCCAAGGCTTTGTCTACCTGGGTCTTAAAAACCTCCAAGGATGGATATTCCGCAACCACTCTACGTAACCTGTTCCAGTGCTTTACTACCTCCCTAGTGAGAACATTTTTCCTAATATCTAACCTAAACTTCCCTTGCTGCAACTTGAGACCATTGCTTCTTGTAAATCACTGGCCTAATGTAAAAGCAGGAAATTGGAAGTTCCTCTCCCAGCTGTAATTCTTCTCACTGTGTATGCAAACACGCAGCTTGAATAATCCAATTGATACATAACTATCTAAAGCTATAGAAGTGCATTTAATTTCCATTTTATCAGTTAAACAGTGTCACATTACAAATGGAACAACTGTTTAATGAACCCTCCATTCACATATAAAGGAAGTAAGGCTGCTATAGTCCTACTGGTGGAATTTGTTTATTCACAGCTGATTTTATTTTAAGTCAAGATATATGACATAAATCTCTTCCCCCTTGTCCAGGTGATAGGTCACCTGGTTGTAAAAGGAAATAAGATTGGTCAAGCAAGACCTACCTGCAACAAACCCATGCTGGCTATCCCTCAGGATTTTGCCATCGGCCAGTCTGTTGAGAATGGTCTCTTTGATAATCTTTTCTAGGACCTTCCCCTAGGTGAAAGGGTGGTCCTGAACTGGCCCTGCATGGGCCAGCTCCAGGGACTAGATGATGTCTCTCTGAAGGCCAGATCTTTGACACCCATCAGTTAATGAGAAAGTGAAGTAAGACTGCTGTCAGATAAAAAAAACACCTGATAAAAGGCACTGCAAGTACATTTAAAGCTGTTGAGACCCCCCCAGTGGAAAAGGAAATCAAGTAATTACTTCCAAGGTATTAAAGCATAAGGATTGTGAAACGATCAACTATGGCAAGGATAAGCATAATACTGTAGAGACGTAGAGTTGAAGCAGTTTTGGCAGAGTGGGTGGGTTTAAAAGGGCAGCAGCTGTTGTTATGTTCATGCAGTGTTTAATGCATCTCTATGAATCCTATTAAAGGGACAGAGAGGATGAATTTAACTTAGACAAGTCTTTACACAGTTCTGCACAGACCTTTTCTGTGTTCAGTATCTTCATCTTTTCTTATGTTTCAGGTGGGAAGACCACTGGTATATCGGTCAAAGCCTCCAGACCTTAAAAAAGATGCAGGCCGTCAAAACATCATCACAAAAACTCAAGAAGACACATGGTTTTTCATTTAAGTTTGGAGATTGTGGTTAGATACACTATTGCAGGGGTATCTTTTTACTCACTTTACCTAAAATATAACCAATTCATAGCCTTTACTATATTCTATTAATGGAGAATTTACCAAATTCAATTAGGCAGGTAAGGTTCTTTGAGTAGATATGATATCTTTTATTAGACCAACTGAGTAGTTGGAAAAAAGTTCTCAGCAAGCCTTTGGGCTCAGTCAGCCTTTTTCAGGCGTAGGGAGTCTGCTGTTCTGAGACTCCAAGGAATGAGAGAAGCTAAAAATGTGGCAGGATGTCAGTGAGAATGTAAATAGGAAGAAATTAGAAAGACAAAAGGTGAAGCAGAGAAGGGAGGAGGAAGAAGGCAGGGGAAAGAAAAGGGAGACATTACAGTGATAGAATGGGGTGGCGGGGGCTGTGGGTTTTGCCCTGTTGACTGGAATGCCGGTTGTGAGCGAGCTGCCTGGATCATTCAAAGGGCATGTTTGGACCTGCTTCCCATGTCTACACTCAATGGGAGTAAAAAGAAAAAGGTAAAGAGAGCACAGGTGAAAAGCTTCCGATTTGATAAAGGGTACAACATGTTGTAGTGAGTCCTGCTGCCATCCCTGACCGCTGGTGTGGGATCAAGCTCTGCTGGTACAATGCCTCGGTAGGCTCGGTCAGAAGTCTCTGTATGCTTAGGGAACATGAATGATGGCATTTTCCACGCTCCCACCCTTGCGATAAAGCGGCAGTTTGCCGTACCAGTACTGCATATGGCAGCCTGCAATCCTCTCTTCCTTCACCCCCGCTGCTCCATGGCCGCGGCAGCAGCTCTGCCCTTTGGCCCGCCGCTGCCCCGTGGTCTGTGGCGGCGGCTCCACACTCTGGGCCGCCGCCCCACACTCCACGGAAGTTCCGCACTCTGGGCTGCCGCCGCAGCTCCGCGGGGGCGGCTCCGCACTCTGGGCTGCCGCCGCAGCTCCGCGGGGGCGGCTCCGCACTCTGGGCTGCCGCCGCAGCTCCGCGGGGGCGGCTCCGCACTCTGGGCTGCCGCCGCAGCTCCGCGGGGGCGGCTCCGCACTCTGGGCTGCCGCCGCAGCTCCGCGGGGGCGGCTCCGCACTCTGGGCTGCCGCCGCAGCTCCGCGGGGGCGGCTCCGCACTCTGGGCTGCCGCCGCAGCTCCGCGGGGGCGGCTCCGCACTCTGGGCTGCCGCCGCAGCTCCGCGGGGGCGGCTCCGCACTCTGGGCTGCCGCCGCAGCTCCGCGGGGGCGGCTCCGCACTCTGGGCTGCCGCCGCAGCTCCGCGGGGGCGGCTCCGCACTCTGGGCTGCCGCCGCAGCTCCGCGGGGGCGGCTCCGCACTCTGGGCTGCCGCCGCAGCTCCGCGGGGGCGGCTCCGCACTCTGGGCTGCCGCCGCAGCTCCGCGGGGGCGGCTCCGCACTCTGGGCTGCCGCCGCAGCTCCGCGGGGGCGGCTCCGCACTCTGGGCTGCCGCCGCAGCTCCGCGGGGGCGGCTCCGCACTCTGGGCTGCCGCCGCAGCTCCGCGGGGGCGGCTCCGCACTCTGGGCTGCCGCCGCAGCTCCGCGGGGGCGGCTCCGCACTCTGGGCTGCCGCCGCAGCTCCGCGGGGGCGGCTCCGCACTCTGGGCTGCCGCCGCAGCTCCGCGGGGGCGGCTCCGCACTCTGGGCTGCCGCCGCAGCTCCGCGGGGGCGGCTCCGCACTCTGGGCTGCCGCCGCAGCTCCGCGGGGGCGGCTCCGCACTCTGGGCTGCCGCCGCAGCTCCGCGGGGGCGGCTCCGCACTCTGGGCTGCCGCCGCAGCTCCGCGGGGGCGGCTCCGCACTCTGGGCTGCCGCCGCAGCTCCGCGGGGGCGGCTCCGCACTCTGGGCTGCCGCCGCAGCTCCGCGGGGGCGGCTCCGCACTCTGGGCTGCCGCCGCAGCTCCGCGGGGGCGGCTCCGCACTCTGGGCTGCCGCCGCAGCTCCGCGGGGGCGGCTCCGCACTCTGGGCTGCCGCCGCAGCTCCGCGGGGGCGGCTCCGCACTCTGGGCTGCCGCCGCAGCTCCGCGGGGGCGGCTCCGCACTCTGGGCTGCCGCCGCAGCTCCGCGGGGGCGGCTCCGCACTCTGGGCTGCCGCCGCAGCTCCGCGGGGGCGGCTCCGCACTCTGGGCTGCCGCCGCAGCTCCGCGGGGGCGGCTCCGCACTCTGGGCTGCCGCCGCAGCTCCGCGGGGGCGGCTCCGCACTCTGGGCTGCCGCCGCAGCTCCGCGGGGGCGGCTCCGCACTCTGGGCTGCCGCCGCAGCTCCGCGGGGGCGGCTCCGCACTCTGGGCTGCCGCCGCAGCTCCGCGGGGGCGGCTCCGCACTCTGGGATGCCGCTGCCACCCCGCGCTCCGCGGCGGCGGCTCCACACACCCCAGGTGAGTTCCCCTTTGTGATAGAGAACCCCAAACTGCTCTAGCACTACTAAGTCCAACACCTCTTCTACCTTTTTACCGTTGGGCTCTATCCACCAGGTGGCCATGTCCTTTAGGATCTGAGCTACTACCGTGGGCCGCAACTCTTCCATTTTTTTCCTTGTCCTAAATTTCTGTTGGTATGTTTCAGGTGAAATTTCAAGCCTGTTTAATATGGCCTCTTTCACTTTTCCATAACACCTGGCCTCTTCCCGTGATAGGGCCTTGTATGCCACCTGTGGTGGCCCTGTCAATAAGGGGCCTAACTGTATTGCCCACTCCTTTCTGTCCCATCCTGCTGTTATTGCTGCCATTCTTGGAAGGTTTTGAGAGCCGCATCTGATGATCTAGAGGCATTTTTGATAGCCTAGTCCCCTCCACTCCAGCGTGAATAGCTATAGGTCAGGCCTCTAGCTTCTCACTCGGCTCCTGCTGCTGTGACAATATCATTATCCTGGCTTCTGCCTCTTGGGCCCTTACCCTCATGGTCAGGATATTGCAGGGGCAACAGGTCCAAATGGAAGAGCTAGTGAGGGTAAGGGCCTGTTGCCAATCCGCTGGTGGCTACGTATCCATGTTCACCGCTCCTC